TTAATTATCATGTTAAATGGAACCAAGTAAATGAAAACCTTTATAGGATTATGTTTTCTGCGAATTTTATATAAGCAACGAGTAGAATGATGCGCGTTTAATGAGAATCGTTTATTCATTTCTAACTCGTGTTTCGTATTATGTATTTTACTATTTACTTCATTACCTAACACGTTTGTTTATGTGATTTTGCAGGTTTTCTGGTATTTTTTATGGCATAAGCCGGTAAACAAGCAGACGGATCACTTGATGATAAACAATCGGCGTCGCCCATGGACACCTGGAACATCGGAGGTGTTACAATTGCGTTACCGGCCTTTTGGGATTAGGAATTTGAGGATTGTTGGGGATTCAGGGATTGGGAAAGGGGGGAGGGGGTAATTGGGCATCGGGTAACCTCACTCACTCGACAAAAGACAACACAATGTTGTTTCACGTCGGTTTTCTGTGAGGCCGTGGTATCACTCCGGTCGAGCCGGTCCATTTATGCCGAAGCATCAAAGCATGGTTCTCCCACACTTCGAAATTGAACTGCATTTCCGAGAAAACAGAATTTAGTTAGTAAACATCTATTATTTTATTTATTTTTTGTTTCAGCCATGATCGTCTTACTGCAGGGCAAAAGCCTCCCTACCGTCCTTTCACTCTTCTCTATGTAATGCTTTAGTACCTATGTAATACATACATCTTAGATACTAATAAATCATAAAATAACATTTAATGGTTGCTATTTATCGAAGAATTAGACAAATAGATATCTATAGTAACACAGGAAATCGACGTGAAGCAACGCTTGCGTTGTGTTTCGTCGTGTAAGTGAGGTTACCGGAGCCTTAATTACCCCCCTCGCCTTCCCCAAACTCCCCAATGATCCTTAAACTCCTAATCCGCACAAAGCCGGTAACGCACCTGCAACACCATATCAATATATGGTGTTGTAGGTGTCCATGGGCGACGCCCATTATCTACCATCAGGTGATCCGTCTGCTCGTTTACCGGCCTATGCCATAAAAAAAGTAATTTTATTATTGATACCTATTATTTAGATAATTTATTAGAAAGGTCTTATTTAAGTTTGGTGGCGGTAGAGGAGGTGGTGGTTTTTCTTAACAAAATTTTTGACTAATTAATCGGCTATAATAAGGCTTCGACATGTCATAATATTATATTTTTCATCGAATATCGAATAATATTATATTCTCGTCGAGTACCGTCATTATAGACACAATTATAGAACAATAGGTTGCGGTCACCGGTGACCGCTTGGTGTTTGACAGTTTAAAGGAGTTTGTACTTACAGTGATCTCCAACAGAAGGCGGCAATAATTTGGATTTAGAAAGAGAACTCGATATGTTACTGGCCTTGTCATTTTGGGTCTGACGTCATTGATACGTCATTTGTTTTTATTTCGCATGTTCTAGAGGCGGCAATAATTTGGATTTGGAAAGAGAACTCGATATGTTTCTGGCCTTGTCATTTTGTGTCTGACGTCATTGACATGTCATTTGTTTTTTATTTAGTGCTAGAAGTTAAGGTTAAACTAGTCGCGGGCTCGAACTCAATCAAGGGCGTGGCCAAAAAGCGCGCTGTCTCATCTAACATCGTGTGTGACAGAGATAGTACCAGTGATGAGCAGTTAGACGCTATCTATTTGCACGACGTATTGTTCGCACGCACACAAACACAGAAAAACGTCACTGAACGGTGCATATATCTGTGCTGTGTGTGTTTACTCGTAGTAAAGTCGTACACGCTGCTACGATTTTATGATGCTCGCATGAATTTAATAATTATTGTCACAGGGCATTGTAATTACTGACAATTTTTTTATGATATCAACTTATCATCCGATCCGAAGAATCCACGAAAGGCTAGGGATATAATTTTATATAATATTTTTTTTTCTAAGTACCAATAACTTTATGTACCTACTACAAACTAGCTAGATGCATCTTTTATCTAAATAATACAGTTCAAATGTCATATTTTCATCAGGTTATAATGTTTAACTAATATTATAGTTTGTTTGGTTGAACATAATAATCTCAGGAACTACCTACCTATTTAGGTAGGTACTTACTGGTCTGAATTATTTCCTGAATTTCGAGACAATTGATCTGTCATTATGTTTTCATAAAATTAAATATATACTTACCTAGTTAGGTACGTCGGTGACTACCTAAGATTACTAGAAGTAGTGATAATACCACATAATTAGATTTTCGTCATTTCGTCCGTAACAAAACTTGTGGACTTCATACCTACATCGTGTAGGTAGGTCCCTAACTCCAACTTCGTGTTAGGTACCTACAGACTTTTTGGCAGCTCGGAACGTAACATAAAGCTGCGCACTAGGTACCTCCCTGACACAAACATAAGTAGAGATACCGGCTCGAATCTTGAGCGCTCGGCATCAAAGTGGGTAGGTATACATTGGCGAGCTAATCACTGTAAAAGGATTTTTGGGAGAAGAATTGTAGGTAGCAACAATCCTTCTCACAATACCTACTACTAAAGAGACTTGATTTCTGCGCAATCTGAGTCAACGCTCAATATTCATGCCGGTATAGTATCTGTATTAGCAGCACAGGAGAGCGCCGCAAGGCTGGGTATAATTGCTAAGGGTTCACCCTTTTAGTTACTTACTTATTTATTATGCTTTTATTTATAGACAAAAAAAAACAATGAACCTGAAAAATCTTTATTGGTAATCGTAATATTTATTTAACGTAATTATTGACATTGACTTAAAATCTATCTCTAAATGGTAATTTACGAGGGTAACGCGGATCTATCAGCTCCGGCAAAACACATTGGTGGTAAAATATATCTAATTTAGAAATTTTGTCTGGCGTCCAAAACTCATCATCTCTTTCAATTATATCTATTTCGATGCCATTTGGCGTCCAAACAACAAAATAACAAAACTTTCTTTTAGTTACCATCAGTTGGCCTTGTACCTGATAATAATAATTATGCGTTTTTTTCAACTGGATTCCATCAGCAGTTTCTACACAAAATTTAATTTAAACCGATAACTGTATCTAATAAAATCTAATTAGATAAGGTATAATAAATTGTAGGGACGACTTACCCATTGTTTATTATGTATTTTCCAATGACACTTGGAAATTCCAAGTGTCATGCAATCGCATTTCGTCCGTAACAAAACTTGTGGACTTCATACCTACATCGTGTAGGTAGGTCCCTAACTCCAACTTCGTGTTAGGTACCTACAGACTTTTTGGCAGCTCGGAACGTAACATAAAGCTGCGCACTAGGTACCTCCCTGACACAAACATAAGTAGAGATACCGGCTCGAATCTTGAGCGCTCGGCATCAAAGTGGGTAGGTATACATTGGCGAGCTAATCACTGTAAAAGGATTTTTGGGAGAAGAATTGTAGGTAGCAACAATCCTTCTCACAATACCTACTACTAAAGAGACTTGATTTCTGCGCAATCTGAGTCAACGCTCAATATTCATGCCGGTATAGTATCTGTATTAGCAGCACAGGAGAGCGCCGCAAGGCTGGGTATAATTGCTAAGGGTTCACCCTTTTAGTTACTTACTTATTTATTATGCTTTTATTTATAGACAAAAAAAAACAATGAACCTGAAAAATCTTTATTGGTAATCGTAATATTTATTTAACGTAATTATTGACATTGACTTAAAATCTATCTCTAAATGGTAATTTACGAGGGTAACGCGGATCTATCAGCTCCGGCAAAACACATTGGTGGTAAAATATATCTAATTTAGAAATTTTGTCTGGCGTCCAAAACTCATCATCTCTTTCAATTATATCTATTTCGATGCCATTTGGCGTCCAAACAACAAAATAACAAAACTTTCTTTTAGTTACCATCAGTTGGCCTTGTACCTGATAATAATAATTATGCGTTTTTTTCAACTGGATTCCATCAGCAGTTTCTACACAACATTTAATTTAAACCGATAACTGTATCTAATAAAATCTAATTAGATAAGGTATAATAAATTGTAGGGACGACTTACCCATTGTTTATTATGTATTTTCCAATGACACTTGGAAATTCCAAGTGTCATGCAATCAACCAAAACAACTTCACTAAATCACGACAATTGCACGACAGCGCGTGTCGTGCAAATAATAATTGTGCAAAAAATTGTGCAAAAACGCGTGTGCGTCTTCCCTCCGCCCCGCGCCACTGCCGGGGGAGTTTTATCCAGTGAAATGCACGATAATCCATCACAAAACGAGTGCGTAAAAAAGTACGATTTAGTGCTTTAGAAAATAGCGTTTTTTGAAAAAACCACTGCTTAGATCAATTTCAAATAAATTTTATAGAACTTTATGGTAATTGTGCTGAGTCGGTACGGTCTTCGGTTTGGAGATTTTACACGATTAGTGGTATTTTTTAACACCCAAAGTTGCGTTAAAATTGTAAAGAAAAACAAAACTTTGTTGGCTCATAACTTTTTAGTAGTTTTTTTTTTATTTTTTTTGTTTCCGTACAGACAAATGTAATTACAAGATAAAACGATATCGTGTTTAATTTTGTAGGTACACATTCACACTGTCGAGTAATACCACCCCGAACTTTCTATGGAAAAAATATCGACTAGTGTAACCTTAATACGTTTCCACCTCATAATTAAGTAGATACTAACTAGGAACATAACGTTACCTACATCTATAAAAATCATTGTAATGTCACTCACAATAGAGTAGTTGTATAAGTTTGATTTTTTTCTTTTTCTTGGATTTTAATTAATGAGTATGAAAATGATTATGAATAAATATTATATACCTACAACTTAAAATTTAAATAACTAAAAACTAAAATATAAGTTTTATTGGACTCATATATTGAGGTAGGTTATTGTTATTCGCACGTGTAAATAAAATAGCATTACTTAGTTTTCGTCACTTTTATTGGTTTGCGTTGTAATTCCTTATCAAGTGAAAGAAGCATGCGCCATCATACGATGTGATTTTCAGTTACATCCACACGTGTTTAGTTGTTGTCGTGAAATGTGTTTATTATCGAATATTTCCTTTGTGATAGTGCATATTTTCATAAGTTTAATAATTCTGGAACATTTGTGTCTTAGTATGGAGATTCAGGTTTATTACTGGCCCATATCAAGTAAGTTTATTTTTATTTTCTTATTCGCGTTGTATAATCTGTTGGAGTATAGTAATGTCACGCTTGTAATGCGAATATTGCTGTAAAAATTATTTATTCCATGTGATGCCCTTTCTTCCTTGAATTTTAGTACTTATTTTATAAACAAGTATCCGACTGTCGCTGACCTGAATGCCCTGGTTCACATAAGACAATGTCCTTGGCCTTATTATGACCCTCGTTAGAAAACTAGGTATCGTGGCATTTCTAGTAAAACCGGGTCACGGTTAAAACCACGGCTATGCACAGCACGGTTATGCTGTAAAACCTATACATTTACTTTTACATAACATAACATAACATCACGCCTTTTATCCCAGAAGGGGTAGGCAGAGGTGCATATTATGCCACTGTACAATGTAACACTCACTTTTCACTATTTATGTCATGAGTCCCATGTAATAAGGGGTGAGCCTATTGCCATATACCGGGCACAATTCCAGACTCCGTGCTACTACTGAGAATTTTTTAAAACCCAGTAATACTTTGCTTGACCCGGGAATCGAACCCGAGACCCCTTGCCCGCGGCAGTCGCATTAGCGATCGCTCGGCCAACGAGGCAGTCTTTTTTAACATTTACTTTTATTAAGTAAAAATTGAATTCAATTATTATCTGTAAATAAAACAGTTTTGATAGCATGTAACTTAGTGGTACGTAAGGCATCAAAGTAGAAAGAGGAGGTATGTTCTATCAGAGAAAGTTCAAGTTTCACCCCGATGCTAAATAACCGTGAATTGACTTCGATTTTTCAAAAATAACGGGACTTTTGGCATAGTTATATATGGTGTCCCGCCCCAGATCCATTTTTCAAATATTTTTACTGGTTTCATGTTCTCTATAATGGCTAACGGTATTCCGTTTCGGACGAAACTTCAGCAATATTTTACACAAAGCAGTTTCGTTGAGTCCGCCATTTTTATCAGAAGATGGGTATTTCGCGCAGTACAGCTACTAAATCTAAATAGGTCATACAATAGTGCGGAATAAATAATCATTCACTGACAAGCAAGACTATAGATACATAGTATTAATCTCTAGGTAGGTACCCCTTTTCAGAACTTAAAGCTTAAAAATCACGGACCCACTTGACTTATTATTATTTATCTTTACTGTAAATGAATTCAGAGTTGAATACAAATTCTTGAAATGAATTTATTGAAAAAAAGATCCTTATTCTGTGCGGATTTTTTTCCATAATTTTAACCAACTTTGATAAAATCTTTGTTTATTTATAGAATAAAATTTATATTATATTTTACAACCCATGGAATATAAACATTCCCTGTCGCAGCTACATAAAAAATAAGTTATAATATTATAAAATTCCAGTGAAATGTGTAGCGATGAACAACTTTATAAAGTACGATATTGGTAAAAACAAAGTCATATTTCAATAGAGGCGAGAACAGAAATAAATGAATCACAATAACGTGAATGCGATAGACCGTCCGTTTATATCTACCTATCTATATGTAATTATGTATACATAGACACTATATTCAAATAAAAACAGACTGCCCGATTTAAACCTACCGTATTTTGGCCTGCCGCCTGCCGTGTTTTTGTTCAACAGATGGTCCTACTGTGAACCTCTTGTTCTTCGTCACTTTCTGAAAAAGCCATTGATAGGTTTCGACTCCATGCATTAGAAGTGGGAGTCTTAAAACTCCAGGCCACCACGACATTTGACAAGGGTATATGCCTAATTTTTATTTTATTATCCGTCTGGTAGATTATTTTAAATCATTAGACACGTATTTTTTAGTTTCTTACAGAAACGAATACTTTCGACGATATATTGATTTGCAATGTCTCGTGACGTCACTTCTATGTTCATTTTATACGTAGAAATGACATTTTAGCCCCCACTCCTAAACTTTGATTCGTTTTATCTAAGTATTTTTTTATTATACGACAAAATAAAAAAATACGTGTCTAATATTTTTTCATAACCTAACTTACGGATTATTAGATTTTTAATTTCCATACCCTGTCATCTATTCTATTCCATACCCTATTGAAAAAACATAACATAACTGGGTTAAATAAAAATGGGTTTCATCACGCCTTTTATCCCCGAAGGGGTATTTAAAACCCAGTAATACTTTGCCCGACCCGGGAATCGAACCCGAGACCCCTTGCCCGGCAATCACACTCGCGACCACTCGGCCAACGAGCATATTGAAAAAAATAATATGTATTTGTTGAGGTAAAATATTGTGAATCCAGTGAAAATTAAGAACGAACATCCCTTCTTAAAAATACTACATTTATGAGTTTCTAAAGGATTTATAGCGTATAATCCTTAAAAAAACTCATACCTTTACAAGCTTGTTACCAAGCCGAAACGAATATAATAATATACCACAGCACACAAGTAGGTTACCTCAAAGCGGTTTAAAGGTAAAAATGTATTTAGGTTCAGTACACAAGGTACAGTTTCAAAATAAAAGTTTTTAGTACCGCGGACAAAGTTCGTACAATGGAACATGTTTAGCGAAATACAGGATGTTACAGAAAGCTTCATATATATGTATACATATGAACCTTTCCTACGTACGTACAGGGTTCTTCTTGCATCATCATCATTTTTAAGCTAGTTTAAGAAAAGGAGTAGGTATGTACGTTTGTGGGCGATTAAGTACCTCGCGATTGGCTGAACCGATTTTGATGTAGTTATCCGAAAAGTGTTTGTTCATTACATTTAGGGGAAAGTTTGAGTATATTAATTAGCTGAGTACAAAAAAGAGCGGTTGGAGTCGGTTTTATTTTTAATTTACCTATATACAATATAAATTCTAATATGATTCGACAACAAAACCAACAAAAAATGCAGATACATTATTTATAATTTAATTATATAAGTACATCACAGTGAGTAACTGTTTCGGTTATCGATATATGAAAACTACAAAATATTTGCTTGTTCGATAAATTAAACGATATAGGCGAACATTTACAGATTATTTTAACTTTAGTTTGAACCAAAACTAAATTTATATTGTATAAGTAATGCATTATACCTGCTGTACTTATTCCAGTTATATATTGTTTTCCGCAACATCCTGTACATATTTGTTGGATCAAAAGCCGCGGCTTTTGAGAGTAGAACTCACCTCCACTGACAAACGTTTATAAATGAAAGAGAAGTGATCTCTTGTGAATTGTCATACAATGTGATGCGCTATAATATCTCATCATGCTTGCTATTACTTATAAGGATCCGGCTAACCTAAAGCGGAGCCACGGCGGTTTTTAACCGCGTAGTTTTGCGAGTCAAGAGTACAAGCGGGTGAGGTCGCTTCTAGATATAGAAGCGGACTCATCCGCTCATCATCAGAAAATATGTATAAAATAGATATATTCTATACATATTATGTGTAGAATAGATATATTCTATGCATAGATATTTATATATTCTATAAATATTTTATTTATAGAATATTTTTATGTATATTATATATTATATTCTATACATATTTTCTCCAGCTCGACTGCCTCGTTGGCCAAATGGTCGCAAGTGCGACTGCCGGACAAGGGGTCCCGGGTTCTATTCCCGGGTCAAGCAAAGTATAACTGGGTCTTTTAAAAAAAATCTCAGTAATAGCACGAAGTCTGGAAATGTGCCCGGTATATGGCAATAGGCTCACCCCCTATTACATGGAACTCAAAACATAAAATGGTGAAAAGCGGGTGTTACATTGTACAGCGGCATTTATTACCGTAACGTGCACCTCTACCTACCCCTGCGGGGATAAAAGGCGTATGTTATTATGTTATTTTCTCGAACAAGGATTACTAATATTTTTTATTTTTAAAAAATCTTAAGGGTTTCGATATTGGTTGCATTACTTTTACGATAACGGTCGAATCTGCATCTGCCTAATCCCTTGAAAACGCAGAATGTTATACTCTTTGCTTGTCGCGGAGAACCTAACGGGTAACCGATGCTCCGGCTCGACGTGCTGGAGAAGGAACGGGGTGGTTTCTAGTCAGTAAGAGTCTGACACTCCCTCCCGCCTCACCCAGGCGGGAACAGTCATTCGATGATTTTCCCCCCTTAAAAAAAATACTCCTTGCTTTTTTTCTGAAATACACTAATTATTACTAACTGGTCCACTTGACTAAAGAGACGGTAAAAAATTGACTCCACAATATTCCAATAAGTTTAATTTTAACTAAACAACTAACATGACAGACATACATAAACTGTTGACTGTATTCTGACAAAGGCCAACCAAGAATTAACGTTGCTAATTATGAAACGTTAATTTGTTTATGCACGGAGCGAAATCACATTAAGGCAATGTGCCCACCAAAGAGAATACAAAATTCTTTTAAATTCCCGCTACTATGTTCACTGTAATTCTATGTTTTTATTGTTCCTTTGTAAACTGTAATAATACACTAGGCGTTTTGAATGTGATGTACATGTTTTAAATTTTGATATTTAAAGAGCTTTTTCATATTAGTGTGTCCACGTTGTGAGTTTCGAATCGTGCACGGTATATGGCAATAGGCTCACCCTCTATTACATGGAACTTATAACATACTTAGTGAAAAGTGGGTGTTACATTGTAGGCACAGTTGCATTAAGTGCCCTAATGTGCACCTCTGCCTACCCCTTCGTGGATAAAAAGACGTGAAGTTATGTTATGTAATGCGTCCAGGTCCACATACTCACTCACAGCCAGCTTGGTAACCTGCGCACGGGCAATTTCCATGTTCCTGTTCGTGAGTGAATACCTCAAATCTGAACACAAGACTTTCTTGAGTGTCGTGTCCCTGAGTTGATACTTTTATGATAAGTAATGAGTGAGAGTAGCATTAAACCCACAATTAACTAAGTTTTTCTTTCAGATAGGGAACTAACTACTACACGTCGTACAACAAGACCAAACCTGAGACATATTCATCTCGTTGGTATGTAAGAACCACCTATTTTGATATTTTTAACCCCTGACTTAAAAGGAGGAGTATTATAATTTTTACCGTAGCTCACTCACTATAAATATTCTGTCTGCCCTATAAAAATATAACAGAATCCTAACAGTTATTTTAGCCGTAACACCGAATTTCACAACATCCAAGTATAATCGCATTAATACGTAAATCGAATCGAGTCCGCTTGAGATAATGTTGGCGACATCGGCCCAATCCGATTGGTTAGCGCGGACCGACGATCCAGCTAAACGAATTTCGTTCTAATTAGCATTCACTCGATGTCGACGGAAATGTTTGAAAAAATCGAATCGCTATCACGCTGCTATATTCGAATTCAAAACTCCTTAATTGCATAAAAGGAAAATTCTTTGACAATTTATTCTTTGACGTCGAACTTCAACTGATTCGCTATTGTTTGAATTTTGGCATGGAGGCAAGAACAAAAGCAAAGTACGGAAGCTTTCTATTCTGCAAACCGCTATTCGATTAGTAAAATTGTTTGTCTGAGTCTGAGAATATTTTGATTATCTTTATGTTAAGTTGTTACGCTGTAGCAGACAATGTTACAAGACGGCTACATTTATTATATTTTCTTAGCTACAGGCTCGTAGGTTATCAATACATAGTATAAAACAAAGTCGCTTTCGCTGTATGTCCGTATGTATGCTTAGATCTTTAAAACTACGCAACGGATTTTGATGCGGTTTTTTTTAATAGATAGAGTGATTCTTAAGGAAGGTTTGTATGTATAATACATGCATATTGCACCCGTGCGAAGCCGGGGCGGGTCGCTAGTATTATATAAAAGTCCGAAAGTGCGTATGTTAAGTTTAGTGTATAATCTTTATGGTCCTGGAATATAAAAAAGTTTGTTTATTTTGCAGAAAGTTTTACTTTTTCACACAGAAATAGTTGTCAAAATTATAAACCTAACTGTCCGGTTGTTACTTCTTGTAACCCTAGATTAGCAAAGCAATTAATTTAAACTGACATAAATATCTTAATTTAGTTAAATTAAGATTTAATTCAATTTTAATTCTAGGAACTCCCCTGCTGAGTCACTGTGCCAAAGACGGAATATGCATCAGCAGCAGTGCCTGTGCCTGGGATCACATAGTGCCGAATGACAGTGAGTGCATAAGAGAACACGAAGACTTCGTATGCTGCTCCGCGACCAGCGTACATATACCACAGAACGTCTTCGCAGGCTACGATTGGTTATAATAGCTATAATATAAACGCCAAAAACACAATTTGTAATTAAGACTTATTAAAATATTTCTATAAAACGTTGTATGAACATGTATGAGGTGCGTTGTGCGATAGCTTGTTGCCTCCGCAATGGAAGCTCGCAACATCGAAGGTCGTAAATGATGTCATGTGGAGATTGTGGGTCCGTGTTGTGGGTTGAAACTAGTCAGAAAACCTCGTCGCATAGGTATATAAGTAAACCATTATAACTTATAAAAAAAATCCCTATGATAATCAATATTCAATGCCAAGAAACTGTTTTTAGGTCATGGAACAGATCTACTAATTTGATATTCATGATTTAATTTATTTTTATGGGCTTAGCCTGTAAACGAGCGAAAGGATCAACTGATGGTAAGCAATCGACGTCAACCTGGACACCTGGAACACCAGAGGCGTTAGAAGTGAGTTACCGGCCTTTTGGGATTAGGGCTTTGAGGATTATTGGGAATGGGGAGGGGGGCTAATTAGGCCTCCGGTAACCTCACTCATACGACGATATTTTGTTTAATATTTTGTTGGATATCACTATAAAAATTCTTTACACAGTTGTGATTGTGAAGCTTACTCCCCGTTATGCTACATTAACCTTTACCTACCTAAATAATATTTTTTTATTCTGAACATTTAACAAAACTCGATTCCACCGTTTGCCAAGGACGCCCCGTTCTAATTATTTCTCGGGATGATTTATACTTTCCCCTATATAGAAATCCCTTGAGATGTACCCCAGTTTATTCCATTTCTCATGAGTTACACTGGCTAATGACGTAAAGTAAACATTAAATATGTAATTTTTGTCAATTACCTATGGATATTTGTTAAATTAACTATACTGTTTATGCCTGAACGCAGAGGGATGAAACTTAAAAGGTATGGCAAAGATTGTGTGACTTTTAACTGCGCTCGTATTTTTTTTTTGTTTTTTTTTTTTTTTTGTAAACCGTTATTATCCAAGGTATACCTACACCGTCAATATTATGTCGTTTTCGTCCCAAAGTAAAATGGTTTTGTCTTGGTAATACAATAGTTTTAGAAAGAAATAGAATATTTAAAACAAAAAATAACCATTGCAAAACGCAAACTTCGATAGCTCATACAAACTCATAGTACATTATTAAAACATCAAGCCTTGAAATTTTCGAAGGGGTATTTCTCCATGCGATGCAAATAGTGCTTACAAAATTACATCCAGTGTCTCATGTGCGTATTTGGAAGAATATTTTTTTTTAAACTGTTAAAGAAAGTTTTTATTTTTGGTTTTTACTTTATGTATTATGGCAAGTTGTTTTACCGCAGGACGATTACAATTTAAATTTTAAAGTGTATATAGGTAATACTTACATTCATAGTATAAAGATTTCTATTATTATTATTATTACATTACAACAAAATACTACAATACAAATCGTAATCCTAGAGCAGGTTTCGAGGAAATCGTACTAGCGGCCACTCAACCGTGGAGGTAGTCATAAAATATCCACTTATTCCGTATAAATTATTTTCCTTACTCATATCCAATGTAAGTAGGAAAATAAAATCCGCTCAAATAGCTTCACGAAATTAACTAATCGGATTACACTCAGAGTGATTACACTCACTAATGTTTTGTATAATAAGGCGATTTAGATTATATATAATATACAATTATACATATAAACATATATGTAAGTGCACGTATACATTTTTTTAAGGGGGGAAAATCATCGAATGACTGCTCCCGCCTGGGTGAGGCGGGAGGGAGTGTCAGACTCTTACTAAAAACCACCCCGTTCCTTCTCCTGCACGTCGAGCCGGAGCCCCGGTTACCCGTTACGTTCTCCGCGACTCCGAATCGGCATGGCCCTGTTGGGCCCCATATGTGACACGTATACATTAGAGAATTATCACGTTTTTCATCATACATAAGTACTATACTTCGAGTTATTTGGCTGTGCATAATCATCGAAAGAGGCTACATGTACGCACTAAACTTCATTCAATAAGTAGATGTTAAAATAAACTGTAATTTTTCGCCGTCAGTTTAATATTTTATGAACTTAATTAATTCTTTGAACTTTAAGCGTATTAAAGTTCAAAGAATTTTAGCAAAGAACTTTCCAAGCAGACATCGTCTGCGTGCGAAATGCATTCATATTTTAAACGTACACACATCACATCAAGCTGTACATGACCAAAATAAACTGGCCGTTCAATGTGAAGAAAGATCATACAAAGCGAGATCGTGATAAATTGGACTTATATAGCTAGATATGTGCGTTTGCGTTCAAAACCATTTTTCCAGAGTCAGCCACCTCGAGTCTTGAGTTGGACGATAGCGAAACAAGTTGGACGCAGCGAGGCATTTTTCCTGCATTTAAACCAAGGATACACTAGGGGACAAAAACCATGTATCGGCGACAGACATGTCAAGCGAACCATGCCGATTTCACCCGACGTATTATAAGACGACAACGTGGGCCTTATGAACAGCGACGTTGATGCTGCCAGTCATGTCGACAAATGTCTGGCAACGTCGCGCTACTCCACCTAACGTCGCCGGCGACACGTGTCGCGGCACATTTATCCCGCAGTGTAACCTTGGCTTTAGAAACGACGGTGGAGGAATGAAAAACGTACAAATGTAGAATGCTAACTGTGAACTAACGTTTGCATAGCATTCAGTCTGTGAGTGTTTATACCTCGTTTTATACTCCGCCATCTTTTTAAATTGAATCTTAATTTGCATGCTCGTTAGCTAATGGAAACTGAATTGGTGATCGTAAACTTATTTTATGCTCTCATTGAGTACTGGTGTGTAATGTGGAGATAATGGGTAATGGAAATATTGATTTTTGTATAACTTTCAATATAATGAACAATTCTGAAGTTTACCACTCATATTGTTAATGTGACTGAATGTGAATGACCATGATCTTAAATATAGAGCTAGCTTTAGTAGCTAATAGCTACTATGATGATGATGATGATGATGATGATGATGATGATATTTTTAACGAACATTTTGAATTAAACCTACAAGAATCGCTTATAATTTTATAAGTTTGACGCAAAGAATTTAGTACCCATACTAAAATACCGAATAAATAGATACCTAGTTTATTTATATTTCTATTATTATAGAATTATTTTCTTCTATTATGTTACGTACTTTCTATCTCTATCATAATATCTGTCCTATATATGTAGAAACAATGTATGCTCTAACCGCTAATATCGCTCCGCATTATTTAATTAATCACAGTCTACCGTCAAGTTTAATCACTGAATTCAATATTATACGTCATCCTATATTAGATTTAGTTCTCTCTACGAACGCAAATACCACAAAAATAATATTAAAATATTAAAATTCTCTCCGTTCTTTGAAAATTGAATAAGACATCTGAAGCCATGAAACATTTAGTAGCTTTAATGAAAGTCTGGAAAAAACTTTCATAATTTGATCGGAGTAGAAAGGTCCTGCTTTTTAAAGATATTAAAAGAAGAATACTTTTTTTACCGAGCGGTGGCCTGAAGTGCAACTGCCGAGCAAACAGTCCCAGATGCAATTCCCGGGTCGGAATTTGCAATTTTATTCGAGAATTTTTACGCTTTTGGATTTCAGACAAATTATACTATGGTTTTCAGTAGGTTAAGATATCATTTCAGGTTACACCATAAAGAATTATATATAGAGATAATGACTGGTGGTTGGGCAACTGGCTGCCGTACAACGTGTCACGGGTTCAATTCCCGCATGGAATAACTCTTTGTGTGATCCACAGATTGTTGTTCCGGGTCTGGGTGTCATGTGTATGTTTGTAAACGCTCTCACGATGCAGGAGGAAATCCTAGTGGGGGGCAACGTTTTTTTAAGAAAGAAATAATAATAATAATTAACAACAGCAATGAATAAATCTTTTAAAAATAAGTACTTAACCGACTAAGGCACATCCTTGAGAAGGAATGCATTCAATTACAGGACAATGTCGGTGCCACTTCAAAATTTTCATTATTTACACCGCTTAGGATGTAAATCCTCCCAAATATTTAATATCTAGCTGTAATCCACGTCTAAACTGTGAAAATATATTAATAATATGAAATTTCATTTGAGCCCATTGTGATTTTAAAATTCAGACCGCGTTCGCTCCATGAAAATAAAATCAAGCGTGAACTTTACATTCAGAGGAGCCCAAAATTTACATTTTACGTAGATACGACTCTTTATTTTAACTCGGTGAAAAATAATGCAAATCACCTTTTTAGGAAATCCCTGCGGCACAACACGCCGGGAGTTTCTCAAGGATACTATTTACTTACGAAGTATATATCCTATATTAAATTTGGGTAATAAGTAAGTACTAGTGTTTTACTCCAAGCTTTGTTCCTATTAACAAACTAAAGGCTAGTTCACACCTGCTTCGTATTAACCGTCTGCGGCTGACGTGTAGTCCCACAGACACCGCGAAATACAAAATCACGTGTTATACCGTCATTTTTCAAATACGAGCAGCACTGCTGCGAGTACCTTTTTTTTTTTTAAGGGGGGAAAATCATCGAATGACTGCTCCCGCCTGGGTGAGGCGGAAGGGAGTGTCAGACTCTTACTGACTAAAAACCACCCCGTTCCTTCTCCTGCACGTCGAGCCGGAGCCCCGGTTACCCGTTAGGTTCTCCGCGACGCTGCGAGTACCTTACCTACTGTATAGTAGTCGCTATACTTTAATTCTACAAAAATATTTGCTGTTGAAATGGTGTCTGGTATACTATACCACCTCAGTTGAATTGTAACAATTTAACCACGTCAGTTGGTTCAGGTCATGCTCTATCTCTACAGAGTTTCTTGCTTGTATTTCTATATAGAATGCCATGCTTTGACACCAGAATAACGACTAACGAGAAAAGCTTGTATAGTTGTGATGTTTCTATAGATATTGTTTAACCTTATTTATGCAGGGTGAACAATAATTAATTAATTAATGAAAGATTCTAGACCGACTTAAACTGTTAAAAGAATATTCTC